AATCATTTTATTTTTATGCTATATAATCAAAAGTGTATAAAATTTTTAAACTTTATTTGACGTAGACTAAAGAGAACATTATCATTTAGATACACCTCAAGAATATTCGTCTATTTGATTATCAAACAGCAGACAGGTTTTAGGCCTTAACTTCAGGCTCAGAATAAAGTTCCTAAACTGGACGTTTCACAAATCTTATTTATTTGAATGTATTTTAACGGTTTCTACCTGTACATACAAAACACGCAAAAAATCTGTCGTATTTTAAAATATTGACTTCTTTTGACTAGTATAGCGACACTTTTCATGAAACAACATCAGTAGAAAATAGATGCAACTATCGAGAAGTGTTACCAACCACATAATTTTTCAACGCATAAATTTCAATTATATTTATTTTAAATATTTTTAATGTTTAAATTAAAAAATAAACAGTCGTCAAAGTTGGGAGATGATACGAGAAGTTGAAGTTTGAAGTATTTTGAGTAAAATTTGTTTTCGAAAAAAAACATGAGTTCTTTTTTTCTGTTACACGTACAAAAAAGTTCAAAGCGATAAAGCTTTTCTGAGTTTCGCTCAGTTTACTGATGAATTGTACAGCAAAAGCAACATGCTGATTTTCTGTAAGATGATAACAGTGGTTATAATGTACTTTCAATCAACTTTTAATACAATTACTGCCTGTATAACAAGTTTAGGTACTCAATTTGAGGTTGGGGTTGCTTAATAGGCTTACAACTCTCTCAGTTCAGCGAGAACCACAACTGTTTTGTGTTCCTGGCAACTTTTTTGATCTATAAATTTTTTCTTTTCTTTATTCCCTCCCTGTGTTCTGTTTTAGTTTTTGCTGAAAAAAATGTTAAACAGTAACTGTAAATGTAAATGAGTAAAAAAGAAATATATATAGTATAAGACCCAGCAAACACGAACCGCAGAGAAGACATTACTACAAAAAGTAAGTGGATAAAAAAGGTACTAGAAGTTAAAAGGCAAAAATAGATTGTAAGAAGGTCTCAATGAAGCTTTTTGAGAAAAAAGATGAAAATTTATCACAGATGAACAAAGCAAGCCAATATTCAAAAAATTACTTGAAAAATCTTTCATATTTTGCTTGTGGTACTCGTACGAAATTTAAGCTGCAACTTTAGGTTGCACTTGACGTTTGTTTAATATAAGAACAAGAAGAAAACGACAGAAAAGAACAAGCGACTCATCAAAAACTTTCAAAAAAGTGTTACTAATTTTCAGTTACTGAAGAAAAACTTGAAAAGAAATAAAAATTGAATAGCACCTTTGTACAAAATGAGTTTCTTCTAAGCACATTTTCAATTTGGAGCTTACAAAGTAAAGAGAGACTGAAGGCCAGCGATAAAAACTAATCGAATTGTTTTACACCAAATTTGACTACAAACATTTGTCAATTTTTGTAGTTTTTTGTTTTGATAAGTTCTGAAGCAATTTTGCGAATAATAATTGCAAGAATCAATACAAACTAATCAAGTAAAGAGAAATTC